GAGAACAGGCATGTGCCACCACATTTGACTGAAAGATGCTTCCTGTAGCCCCATTTAGTTACAGCTTAATTCCTGATTTCTAGGGCACATGCAGTCCCTAGCAGCCTGGCTCTGCAGCAGGAGAAACCTCTGATCTATACTGAGCTGTTAAGAGATCCTAATGCTGCGAATAATGGCCAAGGCAAACCCTTGTGAGAACACCACTGGCTAGCAAAGCCCCCAGGGTGGCACAACCAGGATGCCCAAGCCACCTAACATCAGAAGCTGGCCTTGGCTGCTCCTGGGAGTCTTAGGCATCTCACCAGTGAGAAGTCCAGAGCCTGGGAACAAACCTGCAAACCCTGGCAGTCTGCATCCTGCGCAGAAGCAGTCAGTCTGAAGATATCCCACATTGGAGGTCCAAGGCCCAGCCCCGGCCTACCTGGCTGCTAAGTGGACCTGGAACTTGAATCCTGCCCCGCTGAAAATTCTAGATCCATGTGATCAACCACACCTAGTATAGCTGGCTGAGTGTACAGCCCACAGTGATGCTCTTTGTAAATTGCAGGTCAAAGCACTTTGTGCCTAGTGTCCCTTGGCCAAGGAGGAGTCCTTAGCTGCAGGGTGGGAAAGCCTAAGAACTCATGCCAGCGAGACACCCAGGGCATGGCTGGTGCTGGCCCTGGCCTGGCCACACCTGTGCTGCATGCAGCAGTACCCACCTTCTGCTCCTCTGGCACCTGAATTTTCCTTGCCTTCTTCATGATTGGCTGGGGCTTAAGTTCCTCCTCAGAGAAACGGTGTCTCCGAGGGTCAAAAGTCTCATGGCCTGGAATGCTTGACAGGGCAAGATCAGCTGGGTCAGGTTCAAAGGTCATCAGCACCTCCACTGTGTCTGGGTCCACAGGACTGGGTGTGTCCCGAGATGGCAGGCCTTGGGGAGACACAGTGTCACAGTAGGCATATTTGTTGGGCAGCAGATTCACAGAGGCTGCTCCTGCTCAGGTGAATTATCCAGCACACAGATAATTACGGTAGGCTCATGTGGAGTCTACCAAGGAGCCCTGCCTACTAGGCATCAACCTCTGTAACACAAAAGAGTTTCTCCAGGCTAAAAGGATGCTTAGACATCACACAGCCAATTTCCCTTTTATGATAGGGTCACTGACGCTCAGTCATAACTAACTTGCCCTGAGTAATATGAATATCCCATAATACTTTTTTTTTTTTTTTTTGGTCTCTTTGAGACAGGGCCTCGTTAAATAGCTCAGGCTGCCCTTGATTTCACTTTTGTAGCCCAGGCTGGTCTCAAATTCCAAACAATCCTCCTGCCTAAACCTCCCAAGTGCTGAGATTACAGACATTTGTCACCAGGCCCGGCTTCATGTAATAGTTTTCTAAACCTTCAAGACTAGCCAGGCAAGGTGGCACATAATCCAGCAAGGTGCCTGTAATCCAGCACTCAAGAGGCTGAGGCAGGAGGACTGCAATTTGAGGCAAGCTTGGGCTACAGAGCGAGTTCCAGGTCAGCCTGGACTACTTAAGAAAATGCTGTCTCAGAAGTAAATGAAACGAAACTTTAACCCAGTCATCGTGGCAGAGACTATAATCCCACCCCTTGGGAGAGTAAGGCAGGCACATTCCTGCAAGGTGGACGCCAGCCTGGGGTGCATAATGAAACCCTGTCTCAAAAAAGTATAAAATAAAAATAAAATAAAACCTCAGGAATTCCGATTAACACGGATCTTTCCCTTCCCACAGTCTAAACTGAAAACTATTTCCTAAATCCCCGGCCAAAGCTTAGACCCCAAACTGTTCAGAAAAGAGGACTGAAAAATTAAATGACTAGGTTATTCGCTTGGAAGGGTTAGGGTGAAGAAATGGGAATGGTTCAGAGGTTCCAAGGTGTCTACGCCTTTAAGCGCGAGCAAGCCGAGGCCAGTTGAGGACACAGGTTTGGACCGAGTCACGTGCCATCGCCTGCTTCCTTCTGCCCCTCCCCCGCCTCACGTTCCCAGCCCCGCCCCCTCGCGCGTGACAGCGCGCAGCACCGGGGCGGGAGGGAGGACTCACGTGGCTCGGAGTGTGCAGCAGGGAAAGGGAGGACCCTGCTTCTGCCTGGAGGTCAGGCCCGGGGCAGGTGCACCCAACAATCTCAGGCCTGTGGTCCGACCTTGAGGACCCCCGTGCCCCCTAATAGGGTCACCTTTACTCCTGCCACCCTCTGATTGCAAGGTTCCTGTGCCCCTGATCTGCGCATCGCCAGAGTGAACACCATTTCCCACGATTCTGAGATCCCCGGCCCCTCTTCTGAGAACTGAAGGAGGGGGGGTAGGATCCAGAATCCAGAACCCCTCTGTACAACTTCAGGCCCCGGAATTGGGGCGCCCTTATGGACTTAGCTTGCCAGTCTCTATCCTGGCGACAGAGAAGTCTGTGCCCAGCCTCTGACTTGTTTGACTTCAGAGGTGCTAGGAGTTAGGGTCCCAGCCCATTTCCACCGATTCTGAGCTCATCCCCAGCAAATAACTTCATGCTCTGGGATTCCCGTCCCGGCTCCAGGAAAAACTGGCCCCTTTGTGTCCATTCCCCATAGACACTTCCCCGACCTCTTTGGAATTCGGAGTCCAGAGTCTCCTCCGTAAGGGCTAAGAGGCTCAGTCCCTGACTTGTTAGCGAGCTCCCAATCCATACCCAACTCCTCCAGCACGGTTGGGACTCTGGCCAGCAGCCAGGGTCCCACGGTCCGAGGCCGCGTCGCAAGCCCCGCCCCTCGAAGCGCCCCGCCCCCCGCCGCACCTG